TTGTACGCTTCTGATGTCAAACTTTACTTTATTGTACACATCTGTCAAACTGTACTTATTTGAAACTGATGTGTGAGAACCAGTAATTTGTTTGATACAAAGCGTTTATCTGGTCTGGCCCCATCAAGGATTGGGCCATCCACGTGCGTTTTTTTCATTTTCAGACTTGTAGGAATGTTTCACACTATTTTGCATAATCACAATGTTCACATTTAAAATTGTAGTTTGACGTTTCAATCTTTGCTGCTTGCAGAGACCTTTTTGAAGTGTAGAACCAAAACATGAGGAAGATGTTATTGCTTACATTATTATACGAAGAATCACCAGCAATTAACCGAGAACACAAGTAGCTACCTATACCTACATCAAAGTAGGTAATCACTAATCAGGTTTCTAATAATTGTACAGCATGTTAACTATAAGTTCTTGGAAGCCACAGTTACAAAGGACGTATTGCATTTGACATTATTAAAATCTTGTGTAACGGAGGAAGTTGCGATTGTACTTTTACTCTCAAACGCCTGCTCTTATATCATACCTATATGACTTAGGGTCGCAACGCTTGCAGCTTCCAAAATTTCATTTGGGGTATCTGAACTGTCGCTATCACCCATTTTGATACGCACAAAACACACGCAAAGATGCTAATTATAATTTATTACATATGACAGGAAATGCTTTGTTTTTAATTGTCTAAGATAACTATGATTTTCAGAAAAAATATGTTCATGAGCAAATTTTTGAATTCTTTTTTGATGATCGCCTAAAAATGTTGTGTGCACCTTGGCCAAAAGTGATTTGTTAGGCCTCATCTGAATTGCGGCCTCGGCTACCGCCTCGGCCACAAACAGCAGCTTCGGCCAAAAAAGATCACTTTTACGGCCTTGGTACACAAATAACTATTTTATTATACCTGAATCACAATCTCCGTTTTAAACACTCAAATGCGTGCGAAAAAGGGCCTTTAAAACACACGTGCTTTAAAGTTGCTAAGTAACGATACTTCAAGTATGACTTTTGAAACTGTCATCTGGATGAAATAAAAAATCCTCTTAGGTCGCTTTCTGTAAATGCAGAACATTTCTTTGGCTTTTGTACCTATCCTTTGATTGAAGCTTTCACAAACGCGCGTAATTTAGGGTATGCTTCCAAATCTGTTCCACTTTTTAATCGCAGCATTGCTTTAAAGTTTTGAATGAATGCACCAAAATATAGAAGATTTAAATACCTTTGACATTTCCTTCATATATGCCAGCATTATGGATGCATTTAAGACTGTATTCGTAAGACGTAACTTCCTATTCATCCATGGAAACAACTTTTCATATTCTTTATAATAGGCTTTACTGGAGTTGGATTTTACACCTACCAACGTTTGTTTAGATTTTACAACAATCGATTTAATGGACGGTGTATTATCTTTTTCAACGGAAATCGTTTAATTCACAAAGACGATGATTTTTATAAGCAAACGTCAAGTGACATTTCCATGGCAATCGTGAAATTACGAACACCCAGCCCACTTAATTAGACATGTATTCGAGTATAACGTCAATATGATTTCATTGTATTTCTTATTTTTAAATTATACTGCAGGTATAATAAAAAATACTATAAGATACACGTGTATAATTGGTCTTTAAAACACTTGCAACGTTAAAGGCACTCCGCTTTGCGTCGTGCCCTTAAACTCGTTGCGCGTGCTTTAAAGACTTGATTATACACTTGTATCTTAATATACCAATTTTTCGAAAAAAAGTCGTGGGGGTTTGAAATTTGGAGGAAACATAACTTGTTTTATAATAAAAAAGGAGATCATTGTGGGCTCGTAAAGTTGAACCGTATCCAAGATCTCACGATTTCTGAAAAAACCACCTCTACTTCAAGGGGATGAAAAATCTGATTTTTTTATCGTGCAATCGTGTGCGGGGTAGCAAAATTTTCGTAAGGACTTACATTTTAATAATCAAAAATAAAAAATGTTGTTCCAATAGACAAATTTTAAGAAAAGCGTCAAAAACTGAGGGAACAGTTTTAAGATATACCATTTTTGACATACTACGTAAAGAGCTTTTTTTGCAACTAAATTAACGTATTGGATCCGCGCTAATAACAAGTTTTTGAGATCTGTCTTCTCTCTCCTCTTTAATGTTGCTAAAATATTTTCTTTTGTTTCCCAGTGCCAAACTGCCTTAATTAAAACATCTTTATTATTTCTTTTTTCTGCATTTTTACCGCAATAAAAGTAATTCGAAGTAAAATCGAATTCTTTTGCTTCCTGAACAACTTGTTTCTGTTCACTAACTCTTCTTCCTGCCTGTTTTGCAGTTGATGGTATTAAGCTGGGCCTGTTGATCGTTAATTTACAGGAATTATGAATAAAATCCTCACGAAGTTTATTCCAGGTTATCATTTGCTTTGGCCGGTAAAACTAACGTTCTTATTGCAGACTTTGCAAGTTTACAACAGGCTCAACGCAATTGCATCAGCTATAAAGCAGGCAGGAAGAAGAGTCAGTGAACAAAAACAAATTGTTCAGGAATCAGGAAGCAAGATAATTCGATTTTATTTCGAATTGCTTTTATTGCGGTAAAAATGCAGAAAAAAGAAATAATAAAGATGTTTTAACCACAACAGTTGAACATAAAATAACAAAAGAGAATATTTAAGCAAAGATTAAAGAGAAGCAAGAAGACAGATTTCGAGAAAATCTTTATTAACATCCAACACGTTGATTTATCATGTCAAAAACCGTGTATATCTTAAAACTGTTTTTCCAGTTTTTGGCGATTTTCTCGAATTTTTGCTATAGGAATATTTTTTTATTTTTGTTTATTAAAATATAAGTTTTGTCACAAATTGCAAAATACCAGTTTCCACCCCTTTCAACCCCCATGATTTCACCCGCGGAAAAATTCAGCTGTTAATTAGTTTTCCCCATTTTCTAATCTTTTCACCAGCATGAAAAACCCAGTTTAAACCGGTAACTAATTTTTTTTGTAAAAATAGCCCAGTACTATAATGAAAATCAGAAAATAATAAGTGTTGTAATGTTGTTTAAGAAATGACCATCTCTTTTCTTATCTCTAGATCACTTATTTATTTATTTATTATTCTTATTCTGGGCCCACAACAGGTTTTCGCCCAATTACAGAATGAACCGTGTGCAAAAAGTCTTAATTTGTTCTATACTACTACGGTATTTACCTTACTAATCAGGAAACCCGCAGGAAAACCTAATTCTGAGTAGCCGGAAAAATGCTCGAAGCTGATCTAAGGAAACTCTCATCTCTGTCACAGATGAAAAATTCTTACTTCAGTCCAGGTTCGAACACCCGACCTCCGGCTATGCAGCCCAACGCTCTATCACTAAGCTACACAGTCTTAATTGTTTTTTTTTTTTTTTTTTTTTTTGTGTCAGGTGGGGAAATGCATTATGCACACTCCGGATGGAAAAGTCCGGAGTAGTGTGGGACTCTCACCCACTAAAACCCCACCTGAGGCTTCGGCTTCTAGGGCCATTCGCCTTTATACATACTTTTACACAGAAAAAGATGACTATATAAGTACGATGGGACAGAAACGGATCTAGTTACATTTATTAACATACAAAACCAACAATTTAAAAATATCATAGATCATTTGCTATACCAATTCTTTGGATGAAGGCAAGAGTATTTTTACATTGCTCTTTGTTTTTAAAGTTATTTTCCCATGCAGGGTCGATATTAAAGAGCACACGTACATCTGTGTACTGCGGACAGACAGAAATAATATGATGTGGTGTTAAAATAACACCACATTGTTCGCATAGTGGCCGTTCTTCGCCCGCCAACAAATATCCATGAGTGAGGGCAGTATGCCCCAGCCGGAGTCTGTACAGCCTGATCAAGTTCAAACGCCCAACGTCGATATAAAATAGCGGATCCAGACTCTGTTTGATCTTCTTCAAAGCCGTATCAGTCTCCGACCACTGTTCACTCCACCGCTCATAAATTTTCGTCTTCACAAGTTCACGTCGTGCAATAGATGACATATTCGTAAAGTCAACGTTATCCAGTTGGAGATAGTTTAATACCTCTCTAGCTCTAACACCTAACGATCTACATCTATTTAGCCGAGCAATTGTAGTTGCATCAGTAAGTGATATAAAATTTGGATGTTTATCATCTATCCTTACTTTTATATAATAGTTTGCACAATCTGTTTCCGGCGTAGAGCTAGAGGGGGAATATTTGCCTCGACGTGGAGCGATGTTACCGGACTTGTTGGATATGCTCCCAAAGAGTAGCGAATGGCCAGGTTTTGAATCTTGTCAAGTTTCTCAAGCAAAGTATTACTGCCACATGTAGAGTACGCTGCACATCCATAATCCATCCTTGACAGGATGAGGGCCTTATAAATATCTAGGAGGGTCTTAGGGTGAGCTCCCCACCTATGATGAGCTAGAACTCTCATAATGTTCAGCGATTTTCTACATGTAGCCACAACATTCTCCAAATGCTTTGACCATCTTAATCCCCTATCAAAGGTAAGTCCGAGGAACTTGACTTCTTGGACAACACTGATTATACGATTGTTCATAAACAAAACGGGGTCATAGTGGGGCTTACGGAGTCGACAAAAGTGAACAACCTTTGTCTTCTCCTCCGACAGCACGTACCCGACAGCAATGGCGTTATGACAAATGATGTTAATTGCCGTTTGTAGGTTTCGAGTTATTGTGCCAACCGTCTTACCAGAACAACAAACCATTAAATCGTCTACGTATAAGCATTTATCAATTGAATCCTCAACACCTTTGGCTATTTCATTTATGGCGATGCCGAACAGGGAACAACTGAGTGTTGACCCCTGCGGCACACCATTTTCTAAAACATACTCTTTGGAGTTGATATCGCCGATTCTTACACAGAACTTCCTATCCTCTAAAAAGGATTTTATAAATTTAGGTAAATTCCCTCGAAGATTGTATTTATACATATTTTGCATTATTCCATATCTCCAAGTCATGTCATAAGCACCTTTTATATCGAAGAAGACCGCAACCAGATGTTCACCACTGTCAAATGCCCTCAGAATTCTGTCTGTCAGTTTGACCAGATGGTCTACCGTTGACCGTCCTTTCCGAAAACCAGTTTGGTAAGGCACGTATGCGTTATTGCTTTCGAGAAATGTTTGTAGCCGCACATTAACCATTTTTTCTAGCAGTTTTCCCAAGCAAGATGTCAAACTAATTGGGCGATAACTTTGTGCCTGCAACGGATCTTTTCCTGGTTTCGGTATAGGAATTACGATGGCTTGCTTCCATTCTGAGGGGTAGGTAGAATCATTCCAGCAGTTGTTGAAGAATCTTAAGATGGTATTTTTCATTTCAGAACTACAGTGGCGAAGCATCTGGTTATGGATAGCGTCTTCTCCCGGTGAACATGACTTGGTGTTACGGATTGCTGCCTCCAATTCTTCTACAGTAAAAGGTACGTTACAGTTCTGTATATCATCTGTGTTAAAGTCAATTAATACTGCTTCTTTTTCAGGTTTGGTATCTAGAATGGTGTTGGAATAGTTTGACGAGCTACTGACTTTATAGAACTGATCTGCAATTATGTTAGTTATGTCTTGCAGTTTATTGGTAATTATTCCATCGGATTTGCGCAAAAACACCGGATGACTGCAGCTGTTTTTTCCAGATATAGCTCCGACTTTCTTCCAGACATCATTACTGGTAGTCTCTGGTGTCATGGTTGTTACATAATGTTGCCATGAAATTCTTTGGGCTTCTAGTATTCCCCTACGACACTGAGATCTTCGTTTTTTGAACTCTACAAGATTCTCCAACGTAGGATTTCGACGAAATTTATTTAGAGCTTTTTTCTTTAATGCTATTTTTTCTTTGATTTCAGGTGACCACCACGGGACCATCTTTCGCCTATTGCCAGGTTTAGATTTAGATATGCTGGCGTCAGCGGCGTTTATGATGGAAGAGGTAATGGTTTTAACATTTAGATTGTCTTGATTAGGAGGGACGAGGACTTGTGTGAAGAGTTCCCAATTTGCTAATTGGATTTTATATTTAGCTATCGTTTTTATTGGAAGATTGTGACCCCTGACTGTGATAATAATGGGAAAATGGTCACTATGATGTAGATCATCTTCCACCTCCCATTTCAGGCTAGTATGTATACCTGGTGAACATACTGATACATCGATGGAGTCAAATGTGCCTGATCCTGCATTGAAAAATGTAGCGGAGCCATCATTTAGTAAGCTTAAGTTACTATTTTCAATCAGGTCCAACAATTCTTTCCCTCTAGCATCATTTGATCTGGAGCCCCAAACGGTGTTGTGGGAATTAAAATCCCCAACAAGAATAAATGGTGGTGGAAGCTGCCCAATAATTTTTCGAATTTCTTCGACATCATAATTTGTATTGGGAGTGTAAATATTACAAAGTGTACACGATCTACTAATTTCAAGTTTAACGGCTACAGCCTGGTAAGTTGTATGTAATTTAACTTGTTTATAAGGTGTTCCTTTGTGAATGAGAAATGCTACTCCTCCACAGGCTCTTGCAGGTGAGTAGAAATCCTTTCTAATTAAACTGAAATTTTTAACATTGTACTTTGTTCCAGGTTTTAAATGTGTTTCCTGAATGGCAACACACAATGGTGTGTGCCTTTGTATAAGTAGTTTTAGTTCATTTAAGTTGTTGGATAGTCCTCTACAATTCCATTGTATAATTTTTGTACCCCTTTCGAAGATTTTTGTATATAAAGACAATCACGGTGAGATAAATAACATAAATAAATAACAAATAACAATGTATATGGGACTATTACAAATAAAATGAACAGATAACTAGGATATCACAGATTGTATCACAAATTAATTGGTACAAGACCCTCTTGGCCCCGAATTGCGGGGTTTCCTGGGTTTGCCTTTCGGCCACCCTTTCCTCTTCCTCTGTTGCTTTGCCTCAGTAACTTTATCATCATCTACGGATGTGACACTCGATTCCCTAGATCGAGACAAAGCGGGAGACGTCTTACGTTTAGACCCCCGCGTCTCTGCGTCCATACCCTCTACCTCTGACGCCGTAGTAGGGTCCGAGAAATTAACGCTGTTCCCGGGAATTGATATGGGAACTTCTACAACAGTTGGGGGAGGTTGTACAATTAATCGGTTTGTGGTGAGTATTCTCATTAATGCCTCCATTTCTTCCTTAATTATTTTTCTAATTTCAGGACCGACAGGTTGTACGGGAACTGACGTTGGTACTGAAGCAACCTGTGCAAAAGATGTGCTGGGATTCACTGTCCCAACTTTCTTTTTTGCTTCCGAGTACGACAGCTTTTGTATCACCTTCACCTCCTGTATTTTCATTTCCATCTTGAACACTGGACATGTTTTAGTGACCGCTTTATGCGGCCCTTTGCAGTTTGGACATTCGATGGGTTCTCCGCAGGTAGTTCCTTCGTGTACAGGTTTTCCGCATACGCATCTCTTATCATGCTTACAATTTACAGCAGAATGTCCGAATCTTTGGCAATTAAAACATCTAAGTGGATTTGGTATATACGGACGCACCTGCAAGGGGTAAAACGCCGCTTGGATTGTCCGTGGTAATCTCGGGGTATTGAAGGTAAGTATATGGTTTGCAGTGTCTATAAACACTCCATCCCTCCTTGTCCTAATCCTCCTAACGTCCACTACACCTTGACTACTTAGATTATCTTTTATTTCCTCAATAGAGCAATTCAAAAGATCGCGACAGAAAACCACTCCCTTTGACGAGTTAAGCATCCCATGGGGTACTACCTCAACTTCAAAATCGCTAAATCGCGTACAGTTACAAAGTAATCTCGACTGCTTCTGTGATACAGTTTCAACCAAAAGATCTCCTTTCATCTTCTTAACGTCTTTTACTTGACCAACAATGCCATACAAAACCTTACTTATCAGGAAGGGACTTACAGATGTAAAATCGCCTTCCTTCCTTTTAATGACCAAGAACCGGGGCACTTCATCCACCTTCTCATTGGCCATGTATTCTCTTCCAGGAGCATTTACATGCGTCGAGGCCTGGTCGCCTGCCAACGACGCCGAGCAGCCGCTTAATATCGACCGGGTGAGGCCTGCCCGCTCCGCCTCGCTCCCTGCCGGCTCTGGGGACAATCCGAACCCCTGAGCAGTAAAATGTGGTCGCCCCGAAGGGCTTAAAAGTCTTTCCATTTTACAAAAAAAGGATTGCATTTTTATGCTACTGCCAGCAACTAATTCGGCCGCTCCTAACATGGAGAACAGACGCCGACCCAGCAGCCGCCCACTATGGAACAGACGCTACTGGGATTTTTACATGAAACAAAAGACAGAGGGACCAGAACCACCAAAAAAAACGATACAAACGACCTGGGACAGCTTCGCTTCACCACTGCTGGCAACAGTGGCTACTGAGCCCCCCCACCACGACAAGGTGCTTCCCTTGGGGGTCTTAATTGTTTGAAATGGTACCTTTACACTTTGATCAATTTTTTTTGTTACTTTACTAAGCCTTGAACTTGGTTTCATTCATAGTGGAATTCCCTTGATTTCAAAAAAAGAGAATTTAATTAGAACTGACACCAAATTCTGTGGGTTCTTTTGTTTGCAACGCACATTAAGAATACACAATACTACATTTTTTCGAATTCCTTTAGGATCCCTACTACTAATAATAATACAACGAATCAATATTTATCTTGGACAATGGATCTTAAAGTTATATAATATAATATAATTTGACAAAATACATAAATGCGACTAACCTTTATTTACATTTTTTTTCGACGTGGCCGTTCTGGATTTCTTACTTCTTTCTAACCTTTTTACTCATCACTGTGGTAGATATCAGGTGGTTTCAAAGGGTTGCATGCTTAAACCCGCCGGCTCTTAGCGACTATTCTTTGGGATGGACGTTGAAGATTCATTGAATAGTTAAGTTTGCTCTCGATGTTAATTCTTTTGCTGAGCAGTGAACACACACTCAGATAAATTGGATTTTATTACGGTTTTGTTTAATTGGGAGGAAATCTCTTAAGTAGGCTTTTACACCAAACTGTCCTTTTGCTTTGGAGGCACTTATAATGAACTTTATTATTATTTGATTTTTTCGAACAGTTTTCTTTGTTGTAACTCCCGCACGTAGCATGAACTAACTTCACCTTCCTTTCGACTTTGAAATAACTGGTCAAGGAATTTTCTTACGAACGCGTTTATTTATTATTCCTCTCTTGTTCTGGGCCCTCGACAGGCTTACGCCCAATTACAGAGTCACCCGCATAATGCTTTTTAGAGGTGCGCCTGCAGAAGGTCTTAAGTTGTTCTACACTATATACATATATACAATAGCGGACTGTCCTTACTGAATGAAAACTGCGCGATCACAATGGAATACGAAAATATCTCTTGGCGTAACTTTTTATAACGAACTTTAATTTTTGTGAACTGGCACTCTTTAGCTAGCTGGCGAATGCAACTTACACGCTCGATTTAGGATGAATATTGAACTAAATTACAATTCGCTTTTTAACCACTCCAAAGCTGACACTTGGATTTTTCACGTTCACGTACTACGCTTTCTTTCACTCTGTACTATTTTTCCACTTGGGCAACTAATGATGATTAAAAAAAAACTAACTGGCTAACTGGACCACGAGGTCCCCCTGAATTTACTTGAACTGGTTTCTAATCTCGGTTATCTCGCTAATAATAATAATAATAATAATAAAATTATAAATTCATATTTTTTTAATTTTCACTGGTTCACCGGTCTTTCAGGGCTGTATACTGAAATTCGGATTCTGCGATGTCAGCTCCTTTTTACCAAGACGTGTTTAATTTGCAAAATTGCAGAAGTAACTTAACACGGCTGATTTCCAGTGTGTAATTTTAAACCAAATCCAGAACATGATGCGACAGAGACAATTTCGAACAAATAATTTATTCACGAAGGTGTGAGAAGATTACGAAAGATTGCTATTATTACAATCGACAAAATAACAACTTGAACTTAACACGAGTAATATTCGTTTGGTGGAATGTTCTTGAAACCTTGACTCTCTTTAAACTTGGAAATACTTGGAAACCATGTTTTGGTTTTATCTCTCAATATCAATAATAGATTGTTCTTAGGTACTGCGCAAAGGAAAAGTTGGTACAACTTTGTTTTCCTCTTTTGGACGATGTAAGTTACTTGCCATAGCGAGTTGGGACATTTTTATAAGTGAATTTTTCGAAAGGAAAAAAATTGGTTTGTCGGTCTGTCCGTCAATTACTCATCTAGCTCGAGAACGAAAAGAGATAGCGATGTCAAACCCTCCGCTATGCGATTTCTACGAGTTCAAAGACTGCTATGGAATATGAGCCGGATTAAAAGTCTGGTTTCCGAATGCAAGCTGAAAATTCCCTTACTGAAAACCGGCAAATTTGAATAATTGAAAGCATTGCATTGCATTGCATCAACAAACAGATTTCATGCAACAGTCGATTACAAAGAAGAGAAACGAAAATCCTTGCTGGTTACAAATTCCTCGTACGTTACTTATTTGCATAAATGAAACTTGTGCGTGTACCTAACGGCCGAAAATAAAATTGGCAAAATTTAAAATAAAACAAAGTAAAATATTCATACACGTAAAGCACGCCTTTTAGCAACGTTCGTGTATTTACAATTTAAACGCGTTGATAGGTTCATTATGAATTGAACACATTTTAGTTATTTTATAGTGCCTACTTGCAACAAAGGCATATGGAAGTAATATCAGATCAAAGAGTGCAGTGCTAGTCTGCAATTCAAAACCGAGATACGACTTTGATTATTAGGATGGGATTTAGTTCTAGTTAACAATCTCGTTAAAAGTTATAAAGTAATACCTTTGATGTCGTATTCTCTGCGTATTTATATTGAACACTTTTTTATCGATTTTTAATCGCATTATAACTAATAGATGGCGCCAAAGCGATTCTACTACAGACGTAAAAGAATACATACCCTTGACTTCCGGAAAGAGGCGAGAACGTATCAATTACGCATGCCTTTGAAGGTGTTAAGGTGTACTTCAAAAGAGACTTCCCGAACTTCCCTTGGGAACGAGGAAAAAAATAGTATTAGGTTACTCTATTATGGCCCCGGTTTCCGGAAGTCATAAAAATACAATGCATCATAGAGTTAAAATGACGCAGAAAAGACTATCGCTAACTCCCTCAACTGTTTGCAGATTTATTCTTCCAATTCAACAAATCGTGCTATTAGGGAAACATTTGTCACACTTTCTATGGTATGCAATTCCTAAACTACTTTCAACATATCAAAAAAATTCAAAAAGCAAAATATGTAGTAACAAATTTAGAGCTACCGGTACATCTACACCTTCCCCCTTGTCGGCGATTTTCTATCCCCTTTTTTTGGACAAGGCTGTACATCTTGCTCCTTTAAAATTTGTTTTTTTAAATTAAAATTCTATTGTAGGGTTCTGATCGAAGATTACTCCGAAAAAATTTGTTCTACACGTCAAAATTGATTACAAAAAGTAGATTTCAGGTTAACAACACAAGCCGTTTTTCTGTCCATTTTCGAAGCAGACAAATTGTCTGTTATAAATGGATTTTTTTGCCGCAAAGTGTATTGCAGTATTTTGATCGCTTCTTGCTCACATTCAGTAAGTTAAAATCTGGTCTTGGTCTGATCTGGTAAGGCGGGCGCATAGCAGTTTTCAAAAAGTGTTTTTTTGAATTTGTATTTTATTCAACATAGTAAAATTTACATATACAGGGTGGTGACTTGCGTCACGCATCATAGGGATTTCAATGTAAAATTCATAACATGCGATTATTGGCTCCCCAAATTATTTTAGAGCAAAAATGTATTAAAGTTTTTTGTAGAAAAAAAATTTTTATGCCAATCAACCGTATTAGTTTTCAATTTTTTTCATATAAAGACGGAAAATTGGAAAAATAAAACCCGCATCTTTTTCAATAATCTGCGATGCCATGGAATTTTCTAAAACAAAAAGATATCCAGTTATCAATTAGCAGCAGTTCGAAATGGATTTTATGATCGACTT